AGTTCTACTGATCATAATTCCATTGTTGAGGTATACTAGAATAGATTTACATTGTGCAATTTTCCAAACTCACATTGGTTTCTCCAACAGCATCTCTGTATAGTATGTGTATTCACTCTCTGTCCTAAACGGCTTGTTGGAGCTCCTGCCCCCCCACCTCCCTGTGAGCCCACTGTGCTCTGATTGGTCAGCTCGCCCACTCTGTTCTGATGAGTCTACCACTATGGTTTACCACCGTCACAGCGGAACATCAGTGATTATGTGTTACAATGGCGTTAGCAACCAGCGATCCTTGCGAACGCCGTGGCGCAGCCGTAACGTGACCGTAACGCGACGCAGACGGACCCGGTGGAATCGAGGGGTAAGCGTGCCACAGTTTTGCCGCTGCGAGGATCCACTAGCACCCCCTCCCCCCCAGCGCGTCACAGTTTTGCCGCTGAGAGAGTGTGTGTGTGTGAGGAGCTCCACGGATTGGTCCATTTGGTTATGGGCACGTCACTGTACCCAGGAAGAAAACAATGTAAAAAGAGAAATCTCCAACGAGGCGTTCTGGGGCAGCATAGACAGGTCTTTTCTGTGTTAGGGTTTTACTCGCTACAGGGTGTACTTTGAGGGTTTTTGACTTTGCAGATCGTTTACATGCATACAAACCTTAATAACACACAAGGGGACGGGTAATAACCAGAAAAGCATGACATGGGACCTTTAAAGTACAACAGAATATAACACAAACATTTTTTTCATTTACATTTCTGTCAAATGCTTCTAAAGACAATTTTCACATGAAGCTAATTGGAAGTTTTGCTTTCTACCCAGGCACATTGGTAACTGTTTTTGTCTTTAGTTGTGTATCATTTACTATCTGGTGAAGTGGTGAATTAAGAAAAAAGTTCAGGCAGGAGTGAAAAAACAAACATTATAATATAACTTTTCTTGCAATATATATTGCAATATGAAAAATCACAATAATAATTACAGACAAATAGAAACTTCATGTCGATGATCTCCATAGCCAGACTACCCCTGGTCTGGTGTTAAGCTCAATACTACCTGCCAGAAGAGTTTACACAGTTTAGCATGATCACTTGTAGCTGTATTATGAGGGCAGATACTCTAATTAAATATTTAACACACATAACCTGTAATTCCTGGATGGTCAACAAGACATAATAGTAAAGAGCTTACAAAAACCTGGGAACAGGAACACCCTATCCTCGGGGAGGGCTTAGATCCATGCACATAATCAGTAATTATTAAAGTAATTAAATTAAACATGGGGCTCATCTCATAATCCATGCAGTGCTGTTTGCTTCCAGTTGATAAGAGCTCAGTGTTCACTGGCATGCAAGATAAGAACGGTCGCTAGATAAACGTCAGAGATAGCAATGATATGTCTGTCTTTCTTAGTTTTGAATAATGTGATAATGTGAATACATTTTGGTGTTAGATTGTATAGTCCAGTATCTGTTCTCCTGTAACCTAAAGTTTAAAGTAATCTTGTCAATAAGATTTAATTTACAGCTAACATGCTCACAATGACATTGATAACATGTTGACAAAGCAGGCACGTTACTTTAACTTTTTCTATTGTAACACTCAACACTAAACAAAAGTAAAACTGAGGCTGGTGCGAATGTTTGATGTGGACTTTACAGATTCTACATTGCTGTTTTTCTTTATTTCTAAACTCAAAGTTCAATCATGAACAGTACATAGTTCTTTATCTGAATGATAGATAGGTCCTAACTCACCACTGGGCATCTTTTTCTGATCTGCAGGAGATGTAGCGCTGGACTTGAGCTTGGTTCACCCCGTACATGGACAGCCAAACCATTGCACCCCCCACAGACAGGCTCCAAAAGGAATAGCGCTGTCGCGGATCAATGCTGAAACTGATAGAACATGAGATCGTTTTTGGTCAGGTCAAGAAACTGAATATGGATGGAACAAAGTGGTATCAAGTATGATTTCTTCCTTTTTTTTTCTATCAGCCAGAAGAAATATTAAATTGATGCATCATAATGTAAAGGTAGTTGAGACTACTGAAAAAAAAGGTCCTATTATTATAATAAGGTTTAATGGTGTAAGCATCCTATTTGTGGCACATATCTGTTATAAAATAGAAAATAAATATAAATGTTTTTACTCATCAAAATTCATGCGGGATCCATTTTTAGCGATCTCCAGCACCAGTGAAGGACCACCAACCAGAACTGTGCCATGGATGAAAATGGCTACAAAGCCAGCCAACATGACAATAATCTGGAACACATCAGTCCAGATCACAGCTTTCATGCCCCCCTGTTACAGACAGAGGAAAAAGACAGACAGGAAAACACACCACAACACCTTTTACAAAAACAAATATGAGTCATACACAGTCTCCAGGTGTCTTTCCTCTGACTCTGGGTATATAAATGAAGTAAAATGCATTTATTTTTAATTGACACGAATGAATGCCATATGCACATTGGTAAAAGTTACTTCCTGAAACTAATTACATAAAAGAGGAGAAAAGAGTTAATCATGCCTGCAGGTGTAGAGAATAAATATTGAAAAGCAAATATAGTATGCCTTAAAGCCTTATCAATTTTATATTTTCATCTAGTGCCTGAATTATGTGTTTACCATTGTATAAATAAAGACATTTCCACCATAAATTAATGAATACAAATTCATAAGTATGCAGGAAATTAAATGTTTGGAGGACCCTTGGACCCTGGCAGGGCCGGCCCTGACCAATTTGCTGCCCTAGGCAAGATTTTAGCTGGCGCCCCCCTCCCAGTCCGCCACTGGCTACATGACCGTATTATCTCTCGTATTACAACTCGGAGTTCGTTTCATCTGATTCAGACTCAGAGGCATATGGTTAGAATCTGTAGGGCATATAGCCAATATCGTCTACGATGTCATGACTATCACTTTCCGATCCTTCAGCCTCATATGAGCTCTCAGACACGTTCAAAATTAAACTGTCATTGCTGTCTGAGCTTGCAGCTGTGTGCGCCATTGTGCGTTTTGCATGCAGATGCTGGGATTTGGAATACGTCACACATAATTTGGCGGCATTTGAAGAATCCCCGAGAAGATCCAGAATATGGTCAACATTGAAGGGGAGATTAATGGTTATCAAAGTACAAATATCCCAAATCAGTTCAGTAACGGTTTCAAGGGGACAATATTTACTAAAATTAATGGGTTTGGATGATGGGGGAAATCTGTGTCACAGGCTCTTTAAGAGATCTATGGATACATCTCTCAACACCCATATGAAACAGAACTGTAAGGAGATTTACTTTTTCTTTATGGATATTTTACAAATCACCCCCCTTTTAAACTGTATTCTTGTTTATTAATAACATTTTTTTTACTGTCATATAGTATTTTATACTATAAGAGAATATATGACAATCTACTCTCTTATTTTTTTATAACTATAATGATCATATAAAGATGTGCCTTTACCTCACTGAGCTGAGGTTATCAGAGCCTCTCAGTCTTTCAGGAGAGAGCTCTCCCCCCCGCGGCCGCTTACACAGTAAATTCCAATGTTAATACAAGCTGTATACGTTTTTGGGAGTTTGATTTATTTAAATTAACACAAATACAAAATTAAAACCTATAATTGCACACTAAAACCATTATTTCAAAAAAAGATCTATTTCACATAAACCTCTGGTTTTTACTGGGGCTGGGGCGGTTCAACTTGATTCCAATGATGTGTCCCCTGAAGCCTGTGGGTTAAACACAGAGACTGTGGACCGAAGGATGAATAAGAAAAAGACATTAATCATCTTCAGAGGACATGGCCTGTACAAATGACAATCAATATATATCCAAATATTAGCTCACACACCCCATCCCTCCTCCGACGACTCTCAGTCAGAATTGTTTAATCATTGACTGCAACTCAGCAGCACATCTGAAGTGGATATGAGTTTATATTTAACATATAGCTTTCCAAGTTTAACCATTGATGTCCTTGCTGTTTGCTGACTGATTGTTGCTCTCACTGTCTCTTTCAACAATGCTCAATGGGTGATGTATTCTGAGTTATACTGTTAGCTGTAGATATTCAAATACTCAGCTTTGTTCAGCTAAATAGTTATCAAAAAAGGTTAACCGTTTTTAACTAGTGAATCATTTTATCAAAGAGCTGTCAGACTTTGTGTTTTGGTCATGCTTATTAGCTAGCTAGCCATCCAATCGACCCATCTGCTTGGCTGGCTATCAGAAGATATACATTTGATGAAATCCTATGTACAAACGTCCACAAATCTGGCTAGCTTATGTGACTGGAAACAGGGCCGTCCGTCCCTACAGGCCGATCATGCAGACTGCGTGGGGCCTCACCTTGCGGAGGGGGCCTCACCTTGCGGAGGGAGCGTCATCTTGCGGAGGGAGCCTCATCTTGCAGAGGGTGCCTCATCTTGCAGAGGGTGCCTCAACTGAGCCGAAAATGCGGCGCACTATGCGCTTATGCCGCGCAATTATTGTTGCGCGGCACGGTTTTGCCGCTGCGAGGCTCCACTAGAACCCCGTCCCCCGTCGACGCTCGTGAAACAGAGGGCCTCATCATATAACTGTGAGTGGGGTCTCATGTTGACCAGGGACGGCCCTGACTGGAAAGCTAAACAGATGCCTTTTAGTGCTAGCTAGTTTCAATAGCCTGTCTGCTAAGTTAAGTGTGCTAAGTCATTGGTTACAAACAATGACGCAGTTAATTCAAGAGGTTCATTTGTATTTACTACTGACTGCAGAACACCCTTAAACTTTGTTTTGAGTTTGCTCCATAGAAGAGTAAGTAGGGTAAAATTGGATGGCTAATTTAAAAGTGTTTTGCACTCTTGAGTTCTGATTTTGGTCTAAAGTTTTTGCTGTTTTTGATGTTCTAGCATTGAAGGTCCAATTAATGGCATGGAGTTTGCAGATTGCAACTAACTCAATACACCTCCCATTCCCACTTGGTGATTACACCAAGCCTCCACCCCTAGGCAGCCCCTGACCAATTTTATGCCCCTGGCAAGATTTTAGCTGGCGCCCCCCTCCCGTTCCGCCACTGGCTACATGACCGTATTATCTCTCGTATTACGACTCGGAGTTCGTTTCATCCGATTCAGACTCAGAGGAATATGGTTAGAATCTGTACGGCATATAGGCAATATCGTCTACGATGTCATGACTATCACTTTCCGATCCTTCAGCCTCATATGAGCTCTCAGACACGTTCAAAATTAAACTGTCATTGCTGTCTGAGCTTGCAGCTGTGTGCGCCATTGTGCGTTTGCATGCAGATGCTGGGATCTGGAATATGTCACACATAATTTGGTGGGATTTCAATAAACGATTCCACAAACAACAAACTATTACATTCAAAGAAACTACTTGTAGTAGATGAAGTAAATTATTCAAACGTTTAAATTAACTTTGAATAATAACACGGGAGAAACGCATCCTCTCTTTTCCTCTCTCCCTCCCTCTCTCTCCTGACAGCCCGTCAGTTTCTCATGCAGCGCGCTAAACAGTGGGCGGGGCTTCAGGTGATTATGCAGCAGCTGATCTGATCTCTCTCTCGCGTCCGGTTACACTTCACTCGCGTTTATGTCCATATCGATCAGATCCAGCTCTCCTGATCGGCCTTTATAGAGAACACAGATCAAACTATTAAGAGTGAATATGGGCCGATAATGATCGGTGGCCAATCGATCGGAGCATCGGACATTTTGACTGGCAGGTTTTGAATTTATCGGTTTTTATTAAATTTTACCAGCTAATTACCGGCTAACGGAAACCCTGTCCTATCCATGTGAACATGATTTAAGTGGGGGGTGGACCTAACCTCCTCTAGGGGGGTCCGGGGACATGCTCCCCCGGGAAGATTATTATTTTTTAATATTAAAGACTTTCGGGCGGCACCAAAGTTGTTCTGGAAAACTGTCCGACACCTCAGGAGGGATAAGCAGGGAACCATCCAAGCTGTGTACAGTAAGGATGGGACGTTGTTGACCTCAACTGATGGAGTGTTAGGGCGTTGGAAGGAGCACTTTGAGGAACTCCTGAACCCGACAACTCCGCCCTCTATGTTAGAGGCAGAGCTGGAGTATGACGGGGGATCGACACCAATCTCCCGGGGGGAGGTCACTGAGGTCGTCAAACAACTTCACAGTGGCAAAGCCCCGGGGGTGGATGAGATCCGCCCAGAAATGCTGAAGGCTCTGGGTGTTGAGGGACTGT